TGGACAGCCAAGCGTGCCCTTCTTTCTGCGGTAAAATCAGCCAAATCGAACTGCTAGGATTGGTTGCGGCCAATGGACTTATTAAGTTTTGATTTTTTCAAAATTCAATTTTGAGTTTCAATTTACTTTTGGGTTAGAAAAAAAAGAAAAATCAAAAGGAATGTTGGAGGCTTTTTTTGAAACCCTATCCCCAAGTTATTTTAAGTACAAAGTGATATAATCGTTAATAGCAAGAAATATATCTCGGGTTTGTTGTCCCAGATGGATTAAGCGTTAATAGCAAGAAATATATTTCGGGTTTATTGTCCCAAACTGGCCCAAATGGCATTTTTTAATCCTCCATAGTTTTACGAAAAATAATTACAAGTAAAACATTTTTATATGAATTCAGGACAACATATCAATACATTATGAAAAATATTTCAGAAATTCTATTGAAAGTTTCTAGTTAAAGTCGAAAAAAAAAATCCTTATGAGTAGTAATTGCCTTAAAAACTTGGATGGATTCTATATAAAAAGAAACAAAAAAAATAAAAACCGTTTTAAAACTTTTTGAGATTTTTTAAAATTATCTAATCCCGATTAAGTCTCCGCTGACGCATGAAAAGCGCGAAACATTTGCGTGTTAATTGTCCCAAATTGGTCAAATTGGCAATTTTTAAACACACATAGACATAATTTTTTTGCAGAAAAAGATCACAGGTATATATTTTTATGTCTGGAGAAAAAACCACCCCGAGCACAAATGTTCCGTCTTTCACTTCAAAAGTCGGAACAAAAGCGACTGAAAATACCTCGGCTTTGAATGATGTGCGTTGCTGCCACTTCTTAAGTTTTTTTTGTTAACTTAATGTGATCTAGTTTTACAATGTTTTAGGCGATTGTAGTTGAAACAGAGAAATCGATTTAGAATTTTATGAGGATACCTAATGATCTGTCAAAATTTTGCACTGATAATTAATGTAAGAAAAGCTATAAATTCTTCTAACAGTATTATGGTTAATAGCTACCTTTGTTGGCGAGGTAACGATTTATATATGGCACAAGTTGAAGCTGAATATAAAAAATTGAATCGTGAGAAATCCATTTTATGCAAAAATTTTGGCCAGCAAAAGCTTCTCAAAATTGATAAGAAAACAACTCAAAATACAGATTGAGGAAAAAAATGTGAAAAATTAGGCTGCCCAAAGAGCAAAAACATTTTTCTCGAATTTTTGAAAAGGGGACAGATTATTTGTGCTCGGTGTGATTTTTTCCAGAACAATTTCGATTGTTAACTAGCCATTTTTGACCGAACTTCCTAAATCATCTGAATCAAGCTCGAATTTAAAATGATGTTTGAGTTGTAATTTATTTTAGTAAACTTATGGAGGTTTGAATAAAAACAATTTTTGTACTTTTCCAGTTCTGGCAAAAAATTCTCTCGTTGACTTCCAACGGTAGTCATCCAGCAGTTTTTTTTTAAATTGTTCTTTAATGACTGAAAGGAACATAGTCAAATCTCTTGCAATTAAAACATGTGAACAAAATTTTAGAGCATTTTAAATTCATTCAATACAAAAGTTCTAATCTGAAGCTTCATTTTTTGACAACACTCTTTTTCAAAAATAATCTATTTTTAAGATCAGTTTCAAGCGATTCATCTCAGCTGCATTCAGTGAAAGTTTTAATAATTGGATGTTACCAGTTTATCAGGGTCTAAAAATAGGCTTCACTATCTGTAATAAGTCTTACTCGCGGAAAGCAATTGTAAGAACAGCTGGTTTTAGGAAAAAATTCGGGTTATTCAGCTCAATTGTCTCGCTTAGGATAACTCGCATCGCATGAACAATGTTTGTCACTCCTTTTATTCGAGAATGTACTTTCTCCTATGGAATATTTCTCCGCATATTGTGAGAACTAACCTTTTCAGAATCGGATAAACAAGTGAGTGATTGGATTCAACTAATGAGTTTCCATAGAAAATAGCTGAGATCATTTTCTCACGTTCACGATAAAAACTTGAAGTTCTAAGCTAATTTTATTCAAATGAGGCAATTTAGAGTGTGCAAACCGGATTTAGTTTTACTTTTGTCCATTAGAGTAGAAACCAAAACAAGACTGCTTGTATCAGGGCGAAGCCCTGAATGTTCCGACTGCCTTTTAAGGTCTCTGGAGCAGTAATAACAAAAATAACATTAACAAATTAAATGTACAAAAAATGAAAAAAAAATTTTTTTCAAAAATTTGAGATTTTTCGATGAAAATCATCACCCCACACGCCTTATAAACTACAAAAGAATAAATTTCGCTCCTTTTAACAAATTCAATTATGGCAAAAAAGCTTCTTTAAACCAATTTGGAACGATTTCTAAGACGGATTGAATCTCCGCTCACGCGTTAATAGCGCGAAATTTCTTGCGCGTTAATTGTCCCAAAATGGCCAAAATGGCAATCTTTAAACCCCCATAACTATACAAAAAAAGAGCACAGGTGAAATATCTTTTGAAATTCGAGCTTATGAAACAATACCTTTTCAATGATTTAAAAAATTCAGTCAAAAATGGCTAGTTTAAAAGTCGAATTTTTTCTGAAGAAAAAAAAACCCACCCGAGCACAAATATTCCCTTACTTTCGCTATGAACGTCGGAACAATAAGAATCTAAATGTATTTATTAGTCTAACTTAGAAGAATATCTGAAAAGAAGTTACCTGCTTTCCAATTTAATTTGTATAAAAATGATTTTTTTTTTGCAAAAACTAATCACATAATTATTCACGCATTTTCGTTTCTATTGTTTTTGCTTCCAATTTGTTGCTGGAGTTTTTAAGTGCGTTTGATTGCTGTAGCAAATTCTGCCCCAATTTGCCCATAAAACCAATATTCTACACAATTTGCTACGTATTCTCACTCAAATTGCATTGCAATTATTGATTTAAATTTTTAAACACAATAGATACATTTATAATGACTTGCCACTAGCATATATGCCTGTGGTAAATCCTTACATATATATTTATGGTGTTTAGAGCTTGAAAATCATTAATTGCAATTCCACAAGTATAAAATAGACTTACCACTATCGAGTCATTTTGTCCGAAATTTTGCACTCCCGAATAACCTGCCAAGCTTAATGTGATCTAATGTAAGCTATTCCGTAATTCTGAAAGCTTCTATTTTAAACTTGGTGCAATAAACGCTAAAAAAAGGAGAAATAGTGAGAAAAATGTCCACTTTTGTCCCTCCTATTATTTAGAGGCGCTGCGTGTGATTTCTACTGTTGCCATCATTTCCAAAATTTCCTTTTTTCACCCGAAAAGTTAATTTCCTGAGCTATGGAGTGATTGATTTATCAGATCGACGCCAATCTAAGTCGCTGAGATGTCACTGATAAGAAAAAAATGAGAAATTTGTAAAGAAAAGATAGATTGTAGATGTTCTTTAACTTGATCATACAAAAGCAGATGAGCTTAACTGAAACAATCGATTGTGTTTTGTTACAAAATTCAAATTAACTCATACAGTTCCATGTTTGAATATAATTAGCAAAAATGAAGTGCAGTATTAATCCGCACGTCAAAATGTCGGTTTGAAAAGGTGTTTGTTTTGAAAAGCACTCTAGGTAGGCAATTACTGGTTTTTCCTTTTTTTCCTGATTTAAATAATGCCTTTTTAAAAACACCGTTTGCTTGCTGTGGACAACAAATATCATGGTCTCAAACATAATATTAATGAGAAATTTTTTGCATCCCAGGGACAAGGATATAAGATTTTCATAAAACTTTCGAAAATTTGAACTACTTTTTCGGGGTCGATCAAATTGATTTTTTCAACTCCGAGAAACACCATGAAGAATCTAATTTGCCATAACAAATTCTACGCCACAGTCAGAAAAGTGCCAAAATTTCAGTTTTAGGGCAACTTTTAACCAAAAAATGCGTTTTTTTGGGCCATTCTCCCCTCAAAAATAGTATTCGCATATATTGGTGCCAAATGCGTCTTGAGAAAATTCTTAGGGTAATAAGTCAGAAACGGCTTAGATCGTAGCAAATTAGGATACATTTTGGGTGGTCAGGTGGGCGAAAACAAACGACCGCCCGATTTTTTTTCAATACGCGGCGTAAAAAGACCAAATGCTTAAAAGACGACTAAAAACAACTAACGCCAGATATAAACGACCAAAAATTAGAAACCAAAAAATTAGCAAAAAAAGTTGAGCCATTGCCCAGAGATGAACGTTTAAATATGATGAGCTGTTCAGAGGAGTCTTCAGCTCAAGTCAATCACTCAGACAATAAAAAATTTGGTTGAAATTATGATGTTAAAATGAAAATAAAAAGATTGATATAAGTAATAACATCGAAGACAATCATGATATCAGGGATTAAGCTGGGATTGGCATCTCGGGCAATACAGGGAAAGAATGATTGCCAAAAAAGTAATCCAATACAATTTTTTTCAAAAACCGTATGGGTTTTTGGAGTTTCAAAAAAATGTTAAATAAAAAATAAACTTAGAGAAATAAGAGAGTATTAAAGAATAAAGCTTCTAAGAAAGCGAAACCGCAAATGTTTTGATTCTTTAAAGTGTCTTAATGAAAAACTTAATAAGGTTGTTTGAAAACCTTTCCACACCCTAAGTAGGGTACAAAATGATATTTAGACTTCTATCACTCAAAGTAAAATACAAAGTGACATCTAGATAACCATTATGATTATTTTTTAATAATTAATAATTAGCAAGCACCAAATTTAATTGGTATGATATCTGAGCCAACATTTTTCGCTAAACTTGTTATGCGATGATAAAAAGTCGAGATAATTTATCAAAAATTGACAGTTTACGAACGCCTCAATTATTTTAAAACAAAATCATATGTTAACTACTTTTATAATATTATTTTTGAGAGTCATGAATGTAGTGAAAACTCTCATATAGAACATATTGGTCTTTTGTGTTTTTTTTTCAGTAGTCTTAAACTTTATTCAATTAAATTTGATTTTTCGTTGTCTGAGTTTGAACTTCTTTTCAAGTTCACTTCATTTCCTTTGTTAAAAAGGTGGCAATGTCACAATCACACAGCAGAAGTGTATAGATCACAAAAAATGTGAACAACTTCTGGTTTCAAAAAAAAGTTAATTGTCGAATTTTGTCAGTGAAATGAAAAATTCACCTAAAATTCCATTTTAAAAAATTGGATTAACTTTATGAAAAACGTCTATCATAAATTGTTTTTGATTTTTAAAGAACTTTAAGGCCTTGTTTTTTTTTCTATCAAAAAGGTTATCAAACTCTTTCAAAAACAAGCGAGTGTTTTTTCGATTATCTTAGGTCCATGACTATTTTCTAGCAGTCTGACTTTGTTTTCAATGTTTCAACTCAGGGCATCAATGTTTCTCAGTTGGTTTATTTCATCAAAAACGGTTAGATCAGATCTCTAAAATAGTCTCAAGTTAAACTGCCCGAGCCTAAACATTCTATCGTTTTCCCTATGTTTTTAGCTTTTTACTTCCAATATATACTTCCTGTAAGATAATTAGCTTTTTTACTTCCAATGATAACAATTTTACTTCAGATAGCATTTATAGTTCAAACTAAAACGTAAAAATGCGCTGGAAACTTTGGTAACATCCCAAATGGCATAATTTCCGAATGGTATTGAATTTAAACTTTTCCCAAATGGCATAATTTTCAAGTTTTTATTGTAATTTAAACGTTTTCTATCAATTTCTAGTTCTAACGAACGAAAACATGTGAAAAAGATTTAGAAATAATTGATTCCAAACAAATGCTAAGCGACACTTTTGTATGAAAAATTGACCACTTGAAGCTCATCAGTAACAGCAAGCTTACTCTTTTCGCTTTTGATAATAAATTTTGCAATTTTTTTCAAGATAAAACGTCAATCAACATTTGAATTGACAGTTTGACTAATTTTCCCACATGGTTCGCAAAAAAGTTGTTCTCGATTTTTTTAATGCAACTTTTGCTTGAAGTTTCTGCCATTTGGGAATTTTTTTCATTTTTATGCCATTTGGGAGTTATGCCATTTGAGACGTTATCGAAATTTTGAAGAACTGGTTCAATTTTAATTTAACATCGTTGAAAAACATTCAAAACAGAACAGACGATTTTCTACAAATACGCACAACGGATGATTTTCCCATATAAGCACAACAAATATGGGAAAATCTATCATATATTTTGTTCACACCATTTGAAAAGTTTAAGAAAAAACGAAAAAAAAAGTTCAATAGATGACAAAAAATAGAAAATAATCTTTAAAAGTTTCGTAAGAAAGACAGTTACATTTTTTTTAAGTGAGTTTACCAGAGCCAATTTTGTTCTATCTATGTCGCATTTGCTGCGTTGTCTTAAAATTAAAAAATGTGAAATTGAAGAAGTAATTATATGCACAAATGAGGTTACTTAAATTCGTCCGCAACTCAAAAATTTAGAAGACAATAAATCAGCACAATAACAATAACCCGACAATAACAAATTTTGGCCGACATTTGTAATGCTTGAATCTGAAAAGTTTTCAGTGGAAAGTGCAAGGTGTTTTCTGTAAAGTCTTTGTATTGCTTAGTTAGTTCACGTTCAGCATTTTAGAAAAAAATCAGCGTAGAAAAAAAGAAGGAAAAAGTTTACTGATGGAAACCAATCGTGTTCTAGATTATGAAATCAGGGTAATATCGATTTATATCATGAAAGTAGAATTAAACAAAATCCTGATTGTAATGATAACATCAAGCATTTTTTAAACAGCAACGATAAATCATTAAAAAGAGTAGTCGTTGCTCAAGATTCAGCGGTCTGTCAAGATTGCAAAACAAACTATACGAAAAAAGTTTCAACACTTTTGAAAGTGTGTCTGAATTTTTTTAATTTCTTTTTTGGAGTAAGCTCTACAATTTCTTGCATGAAGTGCTGTAAGAATCTTCGCGGCTCAGTTTTTCGTTGCTAATACTACGTTTCTTATAACTTAGCCAATGTTCAGATTGCGTTTTTTATTATCTTCAAATCACGTCTGAAACGTTTTACATTTGATGTCTCATTGGAGCCTTTTTATGGCTTATGATACGTGAATTCGATTGAATAAAAAAAGAAAACAATTCTTTTTAAAAATTATAATTAGAAAACGCTCGAAAACAAATTTTCTGCCTTTTTTCAAAAGTTTAAATACAATAAAAGCCAACAACAATTATTTTCACTGCCTTTATCTTTTTTTTTCTTCTGTTTTTAGTGTTTTCATTATTAGTTTTATTTGTTTTTATTGGCTCTCGGTACTTGAAAAACAGAGGTAGAACTTTTTATAGCATCCAAAAACTTACCTTATCTCAAAGGGGTCCTCAAAATTTATACCGTTGCAGATGAAGTTTCAACTTCAAATCAACTCATCGATCAGATAAAGTTTTCAACTTCAAATCAACTCATCGATCAGTTAAAGTTTTCAACTTCAAATCAACTCATCGATCAGTTAAAGTTTTCAACTTCAAATCAACTCATCGATCAGTTAAAGTTTTCAACTTCAAATCAACTATCGATCAGTTAAAGTTTTCAACTTCAATTCAACTTAATCAATCAGATAAAGTTTTCAACTTCAATTCAACGCTCGCAACCACCGAATGTTTCACAAGTCTTAGGAAAATCTTCAAAACGCTTTGTTTTGTTTTGTATTTGGATTCTTATTTTTTTCTTAACAACTTCTAACAACTTTCA